CTGGGGGATCTTCCGGAATACGTCCGTAGTCCCAAAGTAAATATACAATACATGGGGATCTCCCGGAATACGTCCACAGTCCCAATTTAAATATGCAACGCAATATGAAATGGTAGGTATGGCATCGAGTTATACAGTTTATACTGAACACATATAAGAAAAGTAGGGACTTAACTAAGCATGGCACACAGAATGTCAAATAGGCAGTTAAAACACGTAAGCATACTTCTCTAGTCTAAGTTTAACAATTAAACGTATTAGTGCAATTTAATAAGGAAAAACAGTTTATGATTTAAAAAGAAAAAACGGGATTTTTGTAATAATAGCCCGTGTACGTACTCATCACCTCACGTACACGGCGCCCACACATCAAACATCTTAAAGGAAAGTCGCCAACACAAGGTTAGGTAAGCCACTTACCTCGAACCGCTCAAATCACCTCGATAACACGTTCTTGCCATGAGTATCCGACTTCAAATGGCCCGAATCTATTCAAATAAATTGCATAATATAAATATAACTACAAGTAACTAATTTAGTTATTAATTCGAAGCTAAAGCATGAAATTAGAAAAAGCGCTCAAAAAGGTCTCCCCGGGCCCACATTTCGAAATCGGGTAAAAATTACAAATTTTGAACACCTATTTACTCACGAGTCTAACCATATCAAATTTACTAAAATCCGACACCAAATGGTCCTCCAAATCCACAAATCAAACTTTCAAATCCCTAGCCTCCAACTTCCAATTTTCACCTTAAATACACACTAACTAGGTGAAAAAATACATAGCAAGGCAACATTATTGATAAAAAATAAGCACAAGGGACTTACCTTAAGAAATGCCTCAAAAATGCTCTAAACAATCGCCCTAAATCGAGTTTACAAAGTCAAAAATGACAAAAATCGTGAAGCCCTTCGGTTTTAACCACTACCCAGGTATTTTCGCACCTGCGGAACCTGGGCTCGCACCTGCGAGTGCACTTGTGCGGAAAAAGTGCGCATCTACGCAATTCACTTGCCCCCCTCTGCATTCGCACTTGCGATGAAATGGCCGCACCTGCTTAAATCTCCTCCGCTTCTGCGTAACTTGCGCACTTGCGAACAGTCTTGCGCATTTGCGGGCATCGCAAATGCGACCTTTTCCCATGCACCTGCGACCCCTAACCAATCCACCCAACTCCTCTTCTGCGCGGATTTTCTCGCACTTGCGGGCAGCCTTGCGCATATGCGATTACAACAGAACCACCAAATATTTCCTAAGTCAAAATTCATTCCGTTAAGCATCTGAAACACACTCGAGGCCCCCGAGACCTCAACCAAATATTCTAACCAATCATAAAACACCATACAAACTTAGTCGAGCCTTCAAACCACGTCGAACAACACCAAAAAATCATGAATTAAGCACGGATTCAAGCGTAAGAATTTAAAAATTTCCAAATTCTACAAACGAAGCTGAACCACATCAAATCTAGTCTGAATGACCTCAAATTTTACACACAGGTCACAAATGACATTACGAACCTACAGCCACTTTCAGAATTTCATTCTGAGCTCGATATCAATATTTTCACTATCGGTCGAAATCGCCGTAAAACTAACTTTCGCCAATTCAAGCCCAAATCTACAACAGACCTCCAAAACACATTCCGGACGCGCTCCTAACCCCAAAATCACTCAACGGAGCTAACGGAGTCGACGAAATTCCATTCCGGATACGTCTTCACACAGTTTCAACTACAGTCCAAACTCTAAGGCTTAAACTCACAACTAGGGACTAAGTGTCCCAAAACTCCCCGAATTCCATAACCAAACACTCCGGCAAATCCCAAAAGCAGAAACAAATATGGGCAAAGCATATATTAGGGGATCAGGGCTCAAATTCTCAAAACGACCGTCCGGGTCGTTACAACACATGTCTGACATTCAAAAAGAGGAGAATGTTCATATATCATGTCCAGTAGGTGTCGACTTATCTTTCCAATTTTAAAAGGTATTCAATAAAGAAATTGCAGGTATGATTTAGTACGTTTTTTCTATATATTTTACAATACATATTACATTTCAGCTACAGGACAATATTTCAACAAATTAACTACAATTTATCTACATTTTTATTTATGCTTACTGTAAATGATCTACAATTTTCTTTCATTGTACACATTTGTTATCACAGAGAAGGAAACTATGTATGTGCACTCTCCAAATCAGGATGCAAATATTTCCATACATTGAGAGCATTTCAATGAGAAGAAGGAGACTGTGCATTTGCAATCTCCAAATCAGGATTCAAATATTGCCATACAAGGAGAGCATTTCAATGAGGAGAAGGAGACTATGCATTTGCAATCTCCAATTCGGGAAACAAATGTTTCCCAACAAGGAGAGGATTGCAATAAAGATTTCAGTGGTATTAATTATTACAATATAATTGTAAAAAAAAATAACAGCTTTCATATAATTTACAGTTTCCTAATATTTCTGATGCAAGCAATAAATAATGTTATTATTTTATTTTTAACTTTGTAGGTGAACCGGTCGACTTCATCAATGTAGCTGACTCAGACAATGATTCCAAGTATGGAAAAAGAACAATAACACTTGATGATTTTGAGCCGGCCGAGAACTTCTCACAGATAGTTAAGTTCGGTGAGGTTAATGAAGATGAAAAAAATCCTGTGCAGCAAAGAAGAACAAGGGTTCCTGGAAAGCATGCCAGATCCCCCTTTCTCCCTTATTTCAGTTCTGGTGGAAGCACTTCTATTGGACCTCCTCTAATTTTCAACATCAAACATCCATTTATTGGGGTTATTGGCGACGAAGTTGATCCTAATTTATTGGAAGAATTCAATAAGTGATTATATTTAGGTACCGACACGGTTTCGAAGTGGTTAGATTCTACACTTTTTTCATATTATTGAGTATATAGAATTTATGAATTTCCAATTGCAACTTTAATTGTACTTGCTATGTCTTTAAATAGGAAGAAGGCGCCTTATATTGTAAAAGATAACCAGATCAACCCGTAGTTTGATCTTGGAGTAGAGAAAGTTGATAAAATAAATTAGTTTTATACTTTGGCATATCCTGGGCAAATTCTGAACAACACAGTACACTCATACCCCGACATAATTTAATGATAAGCTGAAGTATTCTATTATTTTAGATATCTGTAGATTTTTGTTTAAAAATTATAGTTAAATTGTCTGATGCAGTGAGAAATTATGTAATTTATTTTTTTGCAGCACATTGATGTTATTTTATACTATTTGAGGAAGAGGAAAAATATGGTCCTGAAAATAGAACACGGTTTACAACCACTGACTGTATGTTCAAGACTAGAATATAACAAATTTGTGAGAGGTACATTAATGCCTCTGCCGATAGGAAGCTTGCCGTTGTCAAACCCCAAAACATCGTATCAAAATACATATTTGGGTACCGATTACTTTACACGGGACAAAGTTAATTTTGTGATTATGCCCATAAATATTGTTGAGAAATTTCATTGGTTATTGGCTGTGTTTGACATTACCGAAAGGGTTCTATATGTTTATGATTCTATGGTCTCTTCACGTAATCACAAACTTATTGAATCTGTTGTCGACAAATTTGCTATTATGATCCCCCTATACTTGTCATTCACTGGCTTCTATGGCAAGCGTTTATACATCAATTACAAGAACACAAAAGCATACATTGAAAAAGGTGTTACTGACCCTCTTGACATTCAGTAGTTGATCGGTGAGATACCCAACAAAAAGAGGGATCACTGTATGTGCTGATTTTCCTTCAACTTAACCAATTGAATTTTACATTAAATGCTAAAACTTTTTCCCTAATATTTATTGCAGTGATTTCGGTGTATACGTGGCGGCATTTGCAGAATATGTCAGTATTGGACAACTCTCAATTTCAAAGCAAGACTTTTCTGATATTGATCAACAACGTAAACGCTATGGAGAGCTCCTTTAGGATTATGCTAGGGAAAAGCAAGAGCTTGGTGCAATTAGTGAAAGTGAGGTAACTGGGAGATTAGCAAGAAGAAAAGGTGCACTAGCTGTCAAAGAGAGAACAAGAGTCCAGACCAAAAAGAATTAGTTGCCCTTTTCAGTAGCTAAATTATAGTGAAAGTGTTTAGTTGTGGCTGGATTGTATTAAAGTTGTAGGAAAATTATTTAGTAAGAACAATTCAGCTATAGTTTATTTGTAGCACATTTGTGCTAAAGTTGTTTTAGCTTTTGTTTTGCTATTTTGTCCACAATTCTACTACTTACAAATGAAAACATCTGTAGCATGTTTTTTTGTTGAAAGTTATTAGTACTTGATTTCCATATTGGTAGTCTATAATATATATTTTCTGTTGTCTTCTTTTACCATATTAGTTTATACTTAACATATTATGTGAACATATGTTATTCTAAATGTAAGGTATCAAACGTTTAGCTTTAAAATTAAATAAAATTTCAAGCAACGATACATTGATACTCTCAGATAACAATTTCTTTGCAGTATAACTACAATTATGTCTACAACTACTATACAAAAATACATAATCTATTCAAATTTAGCAGTATTGTTAGAAAAAGCTTAAAATTAAAAAATAAATCCAGTTATTAAATAAAGCAACTCCAAACCAATGACATTAAGAGTTAAAATCTGTTTACCAAACATTCATTATAGGAGACAAACTTTATTCAAATTAGCAACATAATTATACCACAACTATAATTGTCTAGAAGAGAACAAATACAACTGAATATGTCGTAAAGGACGGATTATCATCAACAATATTCAGTAAAAAAAAATAATTCTTTATACTACATCAATTCTTATTTCCTTTTGGGAGCATTCCTACAAGATCTTTTGTTATTCCCTTCTTGTCCGCAGTTGCCACATGAAACCTTGTACTTCTTTGCATTTATTTCGTCATATAGTTTGTATCTTTATTTTTGAGGTCTCCCTAGCCGCCTTTTCCCAGTAGGTGGTAGTACAACTTCTTATGCTATATATTGTGGCATATCCCATTTGCTTTCATCAGGTAGAGGGTCTAATGGTGTTTCATAAGTATACAGAAGGATCTCCATCGTGTAATAAGAAGGACAATGGTTTTCATAAGACTCGTTCCTGTGCCTCAAAGCCGCCAAAACATGTGGATAAGGAAGTTCATCAAGCTGGAATTGTACAAAACTATATCTCTTATTTTGAAGGCAAACAATGAAGAGCTTCACACCATCTATCACAGTATGGATGTAATCTGTTGAACCCCTCACCTACAATTTTATTACAAACATACAACAAGTTGTCAACACTTTATAAAAGACAAAATAACTACAATTGTACAACAACATATCTACAATTATCAGTATATATTTAATTTGAAGAAATCAATGATCTAATGTTATGGACCATAACTTACTCTCATCTTCTGCGATAATGTCCTGTTGTCCTCCAACTCTTTGTTGTATTTTTTTCCAAGGTATGTGAACGTACCATTTGCATTCAATAACTTTTTATTAGTCCAACGTTCAAGAAGAGTCCTCATGTACTCTAATAGTTGAACTAAGGGAAGCTCTCTCGCATCTTTGGTTACCGCATTCAAGGACTCTGCAATATTTGATGTCATTTTCCATGTTCTCTTCACCGTAGCATGTACTCGAGACCATATGTGATAACAAATATCGTATATATGCTTTAACATGTGTGTAGATCTCTTCAATTTTTGACATTCTTTCATTAAATTCATCAAGTGTGTATGATTGTGTCGTGGCAAAGTATAATTCGCTTAACTTTAGATGACCTTTCTTGAACTTTGACCTTACATTTTTTTAAATATGCCACATGCAAGCATAATGTGGAATACCGATTAAACCGTAGATGTTGCCTTCAATATAATCTCATTCCGGTCCGAAACAACACGTATATTTGGTTTTTCACCAAATGCATGTTTGAATTGCTCAAAAAATCACCTCCATAATGCGTCATTTTCTGAATCAACAACGGTGTATGCTAGTGGTAATATGCTACCTATCACATAGGTAGCAAAAATTAATTCAATTCTAGTAATAAGACTTGAAAATATCAAAAATACATTTTCAGAAACAACTTTAATACAATATTTTTATAATTAATCTACAATACCTGTTGCATCAATTATGCTAGTTGTTAGCATGATTCCCCTATATGCCAACTTCAAGAAGGTTCCATCGACTACTACAACTGACCTACAATGCTCCCAACCCTTGATGGACATACTAAGAGCAACAAATGCATACGAGAAATAATCATCTTCATTCTTCTGTAATTTCACTACCGACCCCGAATAAATCTTCTCCAAAATATACAAATAACTCGGCAACCGACTGTAGGAATCAGCATGATGAACTCTAAAAAATTCCAAAGCCTTTTCCTTTGCACTCCAAGCTTGCATGTATGTTAGTCTACACCATGTTCCGATAACATGTCAGTTTGTATGTCTTTTGGTGTGTATATTGTCTTAGGATCCGCATATTTTGGCATGACCATGCTTCCAACTACCATGACAGTAGCTACACAATAAAAATAATGATTAAAATGTTATGCAAATTGTAGTTACCAAGAAATCAGGCTTTTTATGCACAACAAATTGTTCTAAATAATTTATATACATAAAAACTACAACTTATATACAATATGATTTCGACAAATAAAATGTTCTTACCTTCTTGCACTACACCGTTTCACCCTAAATTGAAACTTATTTATGACATCATAGTGCTTCATTGCACTAACAATTATTTGCTTGTCTTGATAAACTTGACCTACTTCAATTACTTTTGGCATATATTCTGTTAAGGTTATGATTTCATATTCCACAATTGCTGGGGATGTTGGCATATCAATCAACTTCACTGTCCCTGATACTTCTCCAAATGTGTTATAATTTCTTGACAATTGTACCACGTTAGTATTACGATAGTCAGAAGTACCTATACTCATTTAAAAGTATAGTAATTCAGACCTCTGTATATTCAAGTGTTCAGTATTTGACAGAAATTAAATTTGTATTATACGTGTAGATACTTTGTTCTGTGATTATAATTTACTTTTTTCAAACCCTATTTACTGTGTAACAGTTACACTTCAATTATTTTTAGAGACATAACAGTTGAACTACATTTATTATGTAGTATATTTGTAGATAATTTGTAGTAAAATTGTAGAAAACTTGAAATTGAAAAACATCATGACTAAAAAAAATAGAGCAAACCTGCAATTGTGCTCGCATTCGACATACTATATTCCAAATCGAAATCCCTTACTGTTATACACTATATTTTTATATTCCTTTTTCGTCTCCATATACACTCGAACTCTCATACCGTTCCGAATTTCCATTGGAGGACAACGTTCGTTGACTGTGTATTTAATCTCGGTGATTTTTACAGAAGTGTCGATCATTAGGTGCTCTGCAATTGCGGCATTCAATTAACTATAATTTGAATATTCATTGACTATAATTCCGTCAACATCAAAATCTACGTATCTCCCAAAACTTTTCCGCCGACCATTGAGCTGAGGCATTATTGCCAATTTTGATATTATATCGCCAAATTTAATTCAATTGTAGAGAAAATAATTATGCAATCCTATGAAAACTTTAGAATGTAGCTATATGTTCAAAGCTGATGGTCAATACTTCACGTTAATCTACAATTGTTTTCTTCAAAAAAAAATTATTTTTGAATTTGTTGCCTTGTTTATGGAAAACCAAAGGAAATCTGCGTAAAAGAAGGATTCTGAAGAATTTATGGGGCGATGATTGCGTCTAAATTTTTTAACTGAAAATATTGCGTCTAAAAAAGGAAGTTTACCAAAGAAAGGAGTCTATTTTAAACGAATGTATATTTTTTGTAGCTAAAACGTGTTTAGGTCGGGTTAACTCCAAAATTGAGACAATTTTGGTATTAATGTTTCATATAGTGTATAGGAAAGAAAAAATCCCTAACCTTAATTTGCTCATTGAAAATATAACACACTAACTATTCCTAGGCTCTTTACTTCAAAGGGAACTTTGAAAAGAAGAAATTAATTTATTCTCGATATCTAAAAAAATTAAATATTGTGGACCACAAAAAATACCAAAAAATCACTTAAAGTCGACCGAATATAGTATTTACTATTTAGTATTCGAAATTTATTGATTTAACTAATTCAGATTCAAATAATGTATGTATATTAATAAAAAAAGGTAAAAGATTCTTTATTCCAATTTGCAAGAATAAGAACTCGAAATTAGTATTAATTAAGGATAAAATTCAATAACCCCTATTAATTGCAAAGTATGTTTTCAACTTTTGGACTCAACTTTGACATACTAGTTCGTTTGTTTGATAAGAAGAGTTACTTTTTTTTTTTTTTTTTTTTTTTTGGGCAAAGAAGTTGATTTTTCGGACTCAAGCTTCAACTCCTTCTAGTTTTCAACTTTTTTGTCAAACTTGCTAACAAAACAAGCACAGTTGAAAATAAAATATTTTTTTCCAACAAAATATGTCTATCACAGGCATTCACAGATGACAGATAGAAAGTGAACATCAACTGCTACTTCTCTCTTCCTTCCTTTTCCCATCTTGTTGGCAATNTTCCTTATACTCCCTACATATATACGATATACGATATACGATATACAACATACGCCGTTTGTTATCTCTCAAATTATAGTAAACTCGTATAACTTATATGTCGTGCTTGACCCCAGTTAAAATAACCCACTAGTTAATTCTTGTGTTTCTCCCTGTCTTCTTCTTCTTCTTCCTCTTCTTCTTTTAGTTTGGGTATTCGCGCAGATAGGTGTTATCTGGATTGAAGAGGCAGTTTAGTGTTGAAAAGTTTGAAACTTTTCAGCAATGGGTTTTTGTTGTTTTCGTTCTATTCTGCAGTGTAAGGACAACAGAGAAACTCAAGTACAAGGTAACATCAATTCCCTCTGTATTGTTTCCAAGATTTTCTTTTATGACAAGCGACAGACTTAATGAGCATGATGACTTTTTATATAGTTTCTAATTAAATAGTATATTTCAAGAAACTTAAAGAATTTATGTCCAAATTCACGTTTAAAATTAATCAATTTGACCTTCAAACTCCGAAAAGGTTCAAACAAATTAAAACAGAGAGAGTATTAATCCTTATTCCTTAACATGAATCGTTTGGTATCTTTCGGAATTTAGCAATTGTTGTAGCTCCTGCCTCATTTTTTTAATGCGTGGTTAATACGGAGTATTTTTGTTTCATGTAAAACTTATTCTAAGTGAACTGTGAGATGAAGCTGGAAAACCCTTGATGCCTGTCAATTCGTTGATGAGAATGAAAATTGATGTTATTTGAACCTCTGGATTTGTAACAGAGCTTGAAAGTTGAAACTTAACTTCTATGTATACCATTAGAAAACATATCTCCTTCTTTTTAGGTTATTTAAAAGTCAATTTCAGTAACTTTTTTTTAATAGCAAACATGGACTGATAACCTGCAAAGCATGGTAAATGATCTGTTACGACACGTAAAGCTACATTGGTAAAGTAAAAATCGTTTTACATTGTTAGTGCACAACAACAAAAAACCCAGTGAAATAGCACGAGTGAGGTCTGAGGAGTGTAGTGTCTACGCAGACCTTACCCCTACCTTGTGGAGGTGGAGAGGTTGTTTCCAATAGACCCTCGGTCAGGAAAAGCCATTATAGATTGTCAGTGTGTATTATTTAAATCCAATATAGATTGAGGCACATGTAGGATACCAGCAAAGAAACTAGATATGGTGATCTTCTTTTTGTCCCTAATATCATGATGATATGAGCTTAATTCAATCCAATAAGTTTAATATTTCAGAACTGATGCCAACTTTAAGGCCATTCTCATGTCTATGCTACAAGTAGCTTATTTATTCTAACTTGGATGACTATCTAACTGAATATTTACATGTTTGATTACTTCCTCTAGAATAGAGAGGACTAGAAGTAATGCCTCGTAAATACCTGTTTGTGCAACCAAAAATTTTGTATGGTATGAACTGTAAGGGAGTTAACTTGTTTGAGTACTTGCTCAAGATTCTTCAGACGTGTTCTCTTATTCTTTTGCTTATTTTTGTTTCCAATTTAATCTTCCAAGAGTTAACATACTTTCCTTCTTTTACGATGAAGGATTAGAGCTTGCAACCAACAATGTGAGGCTGTTTAGTTATAACTCATTGAGATCCGCAACGGAGCATTTCCATCCATCGAACAAAATAGGAGGAGGTGGTTTTGGAGTTGTCTATAAGGTGAGACTTGTATCAATCTTTTAGTGCTTACAGTTTTCTACACAAATAATGCCTTTATAATGTAAAGACAGAGAGAAGATGAGTAACTAAACTTTTCTTCCTTTAGCCAACTTTAGTTGGCGTACTTAAGCAACTTGATTGTTTGATTGCAGGGGGTTTTGAGGGATGGAAGGCCTGTAGCTATCAAATGTCTTTCTGCTGAATCAAAACAAGGGACGAGTGAATTGTTGACAGAGATTACTATGATCTCAAATACCCGACATCCAAATCTTGTTCAGTTGATTGGTTGTTGCATAGAGGGTGGCAATAGAATACTGGTGTATGAATACTTGGAGA